AAAATAATCAAAAACGCAAAGAAAATAACTGGGAAAAAGGTTTTATTTCATAGAACAACACAGACTGGTGTTGTATTTGGAATAAAGGATGATCAATAAAACGATCATTGTCACTAAACAGTAAAACAGTATAATAAGTACCATTTACAATACATGTGAACAGTGTCAAGAGGCTTTCTAAAGCAGTACAGAAAGTAGCAGCAGTAGTGGTACGACAGATGGAGATGATCTTAGTCAAGCTTTCAGGCCTCCAGGAACTTTCATCACCATGTGGAGGACGGACATGTGCTGGATTCCATATTCAGACAGAAGGGTGTCGTCTCCATCCAACATTTTATCTGTGAATATCAGGCGCAGAGCCTCCTCTCCTGCACACACACACACATTTTTTTTTTAAGTAAATCTATATCATTTTTATTAGGCACATCCACAGAGATGCATTAGATTATTAGCCCGCATTTACTTACTTTACTTAAGTAATGTACTTAAAGTTGGATTTCCTCGTTCCTAGAGTGAGTTTTCACATAATGCACTTTTTTTTCTCTAACTGCTTTATTAACATTTTTGCCTTTAAAACTCTTCAACTACAAATAACTACATGAACTTGAGCAGTTTGATGTAGAGTTTGCACTAATTGTTCTTACTTTCATTTTGGGCTTCACTATTTACTGCACTCAGTTTTTATTGACAGTAACTTTTTAAAATCACATGCGCACGCGCGCAGACACAGAAAAGTATCTGAAATACTGTAATGCACTTTCATCAAACCATTATTTATCATCGCCACTTCCTTACTTTCACTTCAAGCTGAGTGTTTTACTTTAGGATTGGAACTTTAAGAATCTCATTACAGTAAATATGCCTTTGAATTAATCAGCAACATAAAAGCATACATACACTGTTTTCTATCTGCTGTCTTACCTGCGGTCTCCGGAAGCTTCTGCGCCAATTTTTCCTTGAGCTGTTTCACGGTCATGCTCTTAAACTGCTCCTCAGTGTTGCACAGGTCCAACATCATCTTCTGACCCCTTAGTCCATGAACGACCACCTGGTAGATTTTTCCCATTTTGCGCTTAAGTCCGATTTGTTGCGCTCCCAAAGTCTGTCACTGATATGTCAGTGCGAACAGCTGTTTGGTTTCAAGGTTTGACGTCAGAGAGCAGATAAATTCTTTCACTTTCGCTCAGAATTCTTCAGATTCTAATTATTTTTAATTATTTTTTTTATTGTTTTGAAGGTATTATCTCTGCTTCTCCGTCTGCGTAAAAGTGTTTACAAATGTTTATTATGAGGGGGTGATTTCCACCTTTGTTTGTCATGTGACCAGGGAGCGTTTGTTTATCAAATGTTAATTGGTGTCTTTTTTTGAAGCGAACGCACAACTGTTTATCACAACCACAATTAATATTCATATGGTAGGCTACTTAAAGCTGTAAGGGTTAATCGTACATCCATCCATCCATTCGCTACCGCTTTTCCTTTTCAGGGTCGCGGGGGGCGCTGGAGCCAATCCCAGCTGTC